CTGAGTTCAATCCCCGGTTCCGCCAAAAAAAAAAAAAAAAGAAAGAAAAAAGAAATGGGGTGCTCCCAAAGGCAATGGCCCAGTAACCCCACCACACTGGAGTTCACTTCACTTTCTCACCCTTTCTCTGCTCTCCCAGCCCAGGATGCTCCCACACAGAACATTTTGCTTGGAAATAAAACACCGAGCAAAAGCATTACTATTATTAAAAGAGTGAGTGAAATAAACCAGTCTTGCTATATTGCTAAGTTGCCCAGGCTAGGCTCAATTTTGTGACCCTCCTGCCTCAGCCTTGGAGAGTGCTGGCATCGCAGATGTGTACCACCATGCAGGGATCTACAAAGCTGAATTTGAATCCTTAGCTATTTTATTTGTTTTTAAATTTTCAATGCCTTTACTTCTTCAGCTGTGAAATAGAGATGCTAGTACCACACAATAATTATGAGACTAAAAGGAATCACGCGGACAGCGTGTACTACACATCCTGTGTGACATCAGACATATTCAGAGCGTGTTTGGGTTTTGTTTTTTTTGGGGTTTTTTTGTTTTTTTTTGAGGAACCGGGGATTGAACTCAGGCCCTTGCGCTTGCCAGGCGAGCACTTATTCTACTGACCTATCTCCCCGGCCCCAGAGCGTGTTTTTAAGGACTCCTTCATCCCTGCCTCAGTTTACTTATCCATAAGTTACCTGGCAACGGTGGTGAGAACAGCAACAGCACAAAGTGCCTTGGTAGTACCTGTAACGATGCTTCTTGGAGACAGACCTACATACTACCATTTAGCAGAGGTGGTCGCCCGGTCCTCTGAGGGGGAGTGTGACAATCCTTCCTCTCCCTGCGCCATCCTCCTGGGGCACCGCCAGAGGAGGCCCAAGGACCCACGTCTCGCTCCTTCACACACAAGCACACACCTCGGCAAGGGGATTCGGGGCGCCCTTCCCGCCTTTCCCCGCCCCACAGACACCTGCTCCGCAGCGTCTCAGTCACGAAGTCCTTCCCTGATTTCCTCTTCCCGCTGAACAGCAGCACCAGTTGGGGGGCCCCTCTCAGCGGGGCCATGGGGTAGCCACGCTCTACCAGCCCTAAAGCTGTCACTTTTTGTACTCCTAGGGTCGGGGCACTCAGCTCTTTGGATGAAGCCCAGGAAAGGACCACTCTTCTCCATGAGGTGAAGATAAGGGGGGGTTCTGTTCCTAGTTCTCCAAAGATGTAGAGAGGGCATGGTCAGCCGTAGATTTACACACTTTATTTCACATATAAACAAGTGCGGACAGAAATACAGAGAGAATCGTGGAGCAAAAAGAGATTTATTTCCAGGGATATCTTCTCCCCTAAAAGAGCTCCCCTACTGCCGCTCAATTAGACCAGGCAAGCCCCGCCCAGAATGACGTCACAACCACGCCCCTTTAACCAACTCCAGGGGAGGGGCTGGGCGCAACTACTTTTCTCCGAAGGGGGTGACGTTTTAAAATTTCCCGAAGTGAGCTTCATACTCCCTTGCACACACTCTGGAAACCTTCGAAAAAAATAACAAATATGATAACATTGAAGAATTTTTCAAAACTGCTTTTTTCTTGTCCTTTGTAATGCACGTACTAAAGTATATTTGTATTTTCCCCACAGTGAAAATGGGTCTTTCTGAAGAAGTACCTGGAGCGACTCTGAGCCGATCAGATTGTGTCTGGTGACGTCGTGTGGCGAGAGAGCGTGCAACGCGATAGTTTTTGTGCTTTAGAGACCGCTTGTTTTTGTTTTTTTCGCTTGTTATTTTTTAAATTTGTATTTATTTGTTACAGGGTCTTGTTCAGACTCGTATTGGGTGGGCCAGGGAGCTGGCTCAGTGGAATAAGCGCTTCCCTGGCAAGCTCAAGGACCTGAGTTCAATCCCCGGTTCCACCAAAAACAAAAAGTCAGACTCGTATTGGTCCTCCTGTCCCAGCCTCCCCGTGCTGGGATTACAGATTTGCGCCACCAAACCATGTAGTACCAGGATTGAACTTGAGTCCTAGTGCTTGCCTGGCAGGCGCTTAGACCGCTGAGCTATCTCCCCAGATCACCCTAGTTCAGGTTAAACAAGTTTTATCACCGGGTAGAGTGATGTAGTTTAACTCTGCTGACCCAACAATAAACTTTTATCATTTTACCAGTCATGTCTTCTCCAAAGATTTTCCAAAGCTTGAGAACTTGAAGTGACATGGGTGACATCAGTAGTATAAAAGTGGGCCTTGAAGCCGTCCTGGACCAGATGACCAGTTTTCTGCAGCTTCCAGATGAATTAAGGGTAGTGATCTATACCTTCCCTGAATACTCAGTTCTGCTTTTGCCCCCAACAGCTGACACACAGCCCTAGTCGAGTGAGCCCGTGCAGCGTCTTTAGCTATGGCTCATTGTCTCGCACATTTCTGAGCTTGTCAGAACAGCTTGCTGCACATTACTGCCTGGGCTGTAAAGTCATGTGAAGAGAAGTGAACTGGGGAGTATTTGGAAGAGATTATTATTTTCCCGAAGAAAAAAATGGGGCCGGCCAGATAGCTCAGTGGATTAAAGTGCCTGCTTAGGCAGACACAGGGGCCAGGGTTCTATCCTGGCTGTACCGGCCTGCCTCCCGGGACACACCAAGACTGCTATTGAGATTGGGCGTGGTGTGCTCCCTGGGCATGGTGGCGCGCGCCTGTAATCCCAGCTCTTGGGAGGCTGGAAACAGGAAGATCACTACAAGTCTGATCTGTGTAGTGAGACCCTGTAGACCCCGTACTAAATACATATAATAATAATAATAATAATAATAATAATAATGGGGCATTGTGGGCCACACCTGTAATCCCAGCACTTTGGGTGGCTAAAACAGCTTCAAGCCCAGCCTGGAGAATTTAGTGACTTAGAAAAACCTTGTCTCAAAAAAGTACTAGAGGGGCCAGGGAGATGGCTCAGTGGAATAAGCACTTCCTTAGCAAATGCAAGGGACTGAGTTCAATCCCCGGTTCAGGGGAAAAAAAAAAAAATTACTAGGGCTGTAGCACAGTGAGAAGACCCTAGGTAGGTTCCATCTCTGGTATTGAGGGGTAGGGGGAAGTGGGTGAGAGGTAGCACAGAAAAGTGGTCAATTTTTTTTTTTTTTTTTGGCAGAACCAAGGATTGAACTCAGGCCCTTGCACTTGCCAGGCAAGTGCTTATTCTACTGAACCATCTCCCCGGCCCCTGAGAGTGGTCAAATTTGAACGAACAGATATCAGCAGAGTCTTTTTGTAAGCAAACGAGAAAACTACACTCAGCAGTTCACTCCTTTAGTGGTCTGTAGCTCTGTGGTAGAGTGATTGCCCACAATGTCTCAGGTGTGGTGAGATGACATAAAGCAGAGTTTTAACATCCCAGCTTTGACACTTTGCAAAAATGAGACATTCAGGAAGTAAATAACTTCAAAATTATAATGCCCACCTCACGCTCTTACAATGAGAAGAAAGATGAAATATATCTACAATCCCAGGACTCTGGAAGGCTGAGGGAGGAGCATCAGAAATTTAAACCCAGCCTGAGCAATTTAGAAATTTAATGAAGGGGCCGGGGAGATAGCTCAGTAGAATAAGCACTTGCCTGGCAAGTGCAAGGGCTTGAGTTCAATCCCCAGTTCCACAAAAAAAAAAAAAAAAAAAAAAAAGAGGAAAACATATAATAAACTGCAATAAAGTATTCTTTAAGTTCTATACTAGTGACAGGCCCATGGCATAGTCAGAGACCACCATAGGTACAAAGGATAAACTAATGCCTAGGCCTTGACCTGTTGCTCATCAAAAGCATGATTTGTTTTTCTTCTGAGGCAATTATGGACTTTGAGGTGCTTTTGTAATCCTTCCTTTGAACCTATAAATGTCCAGGAGTTAACTAAAACCAGAACAAAGCTTGACTTTTCTTTTTGTCAAAATCAAATCATCCGGGGCTGGTGAGATGGCTCAGTGGTCTAAAGCACCTACTTAGAAGCAAGCTTAGCAAAGCACAGGGACCGCGGTTCAATCCCCCAGCACCACATGCCAGCCAGCCCTGCCCCCTGGTGGGCTGAGCTGGCCACACACACACACACAAATAAATTAAAATAAATAAATAAAAGTTTAAAAAAAAAAAAATCAAATCATCCTCAGCTCTGCTTATACCCATGTTAGTCATGTAGGAACTGTCTGTCTAAATATTGACAAAACAAGGTTTATTAGCTCTAAATTTCCCTAGCCTATCTCAATGCCCTTCAAGACTGAGGACACTGGTGTAAGAGATTTAGGGGGACATTCAGCTGTGCCCTGAAGTCTCTGTTGCCCTAAACCTGTGATTATCTTGGATTTTGGTCAAGCCTCACGTGATTGAAATTGCCCCTTTGGTCACAAATATTCCTCCCATAAAACCCAAATTGCCCCTCAAATTACAAGAATTTGGCCTGAGCCAGATACAGGCCTGAGATAACTGACCAGACCCTGGCCCACCTCCTTTTGTGGATGAGCCAGTCTGAATCCCTCCATCAGAGTGAGCCCCTCCAGGTACTCAAATTGGACTCTTTTCTGTATCTGTTCTTCATTAGGGACCTGCTTTTTTTTTTTTTTTTCCAGTATCAGGGATTGAATTCAGGACCTTGCGCTTGCCAGGCAAGTGCTTATTCTACTGAGAGATCTCCCCAGCCCAAGGAACCTACTTGATCTTCATCTGAATCCTGCTTCCCTTTCTTTCTTTCTTTTTTTTCTTTTCTTTTTTTTTTTTTTTTTTCCGCTTTGTAGCCCAGGCTGGTCTGGAACATGCAATGATCCTCCTGCCTCAGCCTCCTAAGTGCTGGGCCTTTTATTTTCTTCCCCCTCCCCTTTTATTTTTTTGTCCTTTCCTTTCCTTTCCTTTTGAGACAGAATCTTGCTGTGTAGTTCAAGCTGGCCTCGAGTAGCCTATGCAGCCCAAACTGACCTTGAACTTGCTATGATCTTCTGGCCTCACCCCCACCAAGTCCTGGGATTACACGTATGCACTACCACACCCAGTTTATTTTCTCTTACTCTCAAAGCTTTTTCCAACAAATTAGTGTTTTAGTTTTAATTTGCATTATCACTAAAGCAAAGACGCACACTAGCTAGTGACAGTACCATCAATTTTTAAAGGGTTTTATTCTTAGCATTTTGTGTTTGCAGTTCGTGATCCAACAGGATCAGACTTTCAGTTCATCTTCCATAAACATTCGTTTGAATCCACTAAAGCTACCAGGATTAACCAACTAGCACTTTCATGCTTTCTGAGTCACCACCAGGGAGGAGTTAGAATTTTCTCCCAAAACGACTTCCCTCTGCTGATCTGCCCCATCTCCCTGGCTCAGGCTTCCCACACCCTGCATCACGCTCCCTGGAATTCCCAGTCTGTGGCTAGAAAACTTCATACCAACCTCTTCTCAGCCCTTTCCTTCCTGCTGCCTGCCTCTTAGCCCTGACTGCCCCCTCCAGTGGGGTCCTCTCCTTCTCCCCCAGCCCTCACCCCCCCTTCCCACTTCAGTTTCCAGGTCTTTACTTCCCTGCCACTTGGAAAACTCCAGAAAGGCCCAGCTCATACCGTCTGGCTGAGCTCCTCTTTGCCCCTCTTCGGTATTAATGACCCCATCCTGGATTCCTTCTCAATTACTGAGACACTGGTCCCATTCCACTTCTTTACCTACTTCCTTTCATCAAATTCAACAGAGGCTTAGGCTGTTCAGAGAACCTAGGGCCTTCTCACTAAACTACATCCCCACTCCACCACCACCTCCACTTTTTTTTTTTTTTTTTTTTTTTTTTTTTTGGCGGAGTCTCACTATGCAATTCAGGCTGACCTTAAACTCACTTTGTAGCCCAGGCTGGTCTCAAACTCACAATCATCCTCCTGCCTCAGCCTCCCTAAGTGCTGGGATTATAGGTTTGTGCTGCCACACCAGGCACCACCCCTTTTTGAGACAGGTCTCACTAAATTGCCCAAGCAGGACTCAAAACTCAAAATCTTCCTGCGTCAGCCTCCCAGATTGATGGGATTACAGGTGTATACCAGCACGCCAGCTTGCTCAAAGCTTTTTGCCTCCTATCCTCAGCTCCCAGGTCCCATGGACATGGCCTTATGATCACGAGAAGCTGTTCAACCTGTC